TGCTGACGCAAAGTGACGAGGAAATTCTATGTGGTTGGACTGTTACTCTGACATTTAAAATCCTTCTGTGAGTCTTGTCATTTCGCTTCATACTTGCTGGTTGTTATTTCTCCTTTTTGGGACTCAGTCCACTACAATCGCAGTGTTTTGTTAAAGCTTCAGGAAATGACAAACATAATGGACCTACTGAACTTTTGAGCGTAAGGAAAGAAAGAAATATCACCTTGCTCGTGGGGCTAGCTGATGTCTTCTGCACAGTTCGCAACTGGCATGGCAGTGGAAGATTAGCCGGGCTATATCATAGTCAACTGGCAATCACGTAGGTCCGCAGCTGTCACCCATGCCGAAGTGGCACTAGCTGCTGGCATCCGGAAATCATGGGGGCAGAACCCGGCAGGGATCCGCTGGAAAGCGCAACACTGACGAGACTCGGAAGGTCGAAACACCGGAGTCTGTTACTTTTCCGGACTCACCAAAGCTTACTGAATGTAAGTCGACCGTGATGAACTATTTCTAATCACCTTGGGGAATCTGCTGCACATATTCCGTACCTGAACTAATAGCACTGCCAGCTGTGAGATCAGATTCTTAAGACGTAAGCTTATAATGAGCAACTTTCAGTCATCATGGAACCAAAAAAGCTCATTGATTAGCAGCTCTCCCCATAGAGAGGGAAATTACCAATGGACTGCATTTTTATAAGCTTATCAATACTACTGCCTCAAGCAATTCACGAATAGTGTACCAGTAAATTTTGTTCACGAATATGTAACGATAAAAGTGTCTGTATTTATGGCAGCACTATAAAATTAGAGCTCTGATTTTCGTTAAATAAAATGAAATATTTAAGGGCTGTTCGCAATTGTAAGGGTTTACGAATTTACAACTGCCATGGGGAGGCGGTAATTTTACCTACGTCTCGGGCGGAAAAAGTAGTTGCTACGCCACTGTATTTATCTGTGTGAAGGGGCGCCTGAGGTCTGCAGCCAGTGTGCCAGTGTTGAAGGGCTGAGATGGACAGTCCGTAACCTCGAGCACAGATCGTGTGTCCACATTAGCAGCGCCCTTCGCTACTGTATTTATTAATGACCAGGTGTCTATACCGAGTTCAACAGGTACCGTCCCTACCCAACTATACAATCTGAATTGCACCATTGAAGATGTACGCAAAATGCTGGCCAGTGTTGACGGAACCAAGCCTGTCGGACCAAATGGAATCCACTCACTGATCCTCGATTTATTATCGGTCATCAGCTCGCCTTCCATGACTGAGCTGTCCAACAGGTCACTATCCACTGGTACATTACCGATCCACCGGAAATGTTTCGTCGTAAAGCCAATACCGAAAGGCGGTGACGCAGACAAATTGGACAAATACTGGCCACTCTGCCTGTTCCCTGTTTGGCTAAGACACTTGGGAAAATCGGGAAGAAGAGTCTACTGTAGCTTCTGTAGTCGTAAAGTCTCTTGACGCACGTACAGCATGGTTTAATGCTCGTGCATAACCAAGTTGCTTTTGACAAGGCACTAATATATGTAACCGCTGGACCAGGGGAAGTCAGTTTACATCATGTACATTGATTTCAGTAAGGGGTTTGATAAGGTGAATAATGAAGTTCTCCTCCACATGTTGTGGATATGCGATGTTGTCGGCTCGCTGCACTAATGCATCGGGAAATTCCTTGTTTATCGAAAGTAGAGGGTCCAGATTGAAGACCATATAACTGACTGACTTTGAACAGTGGAGTGCCCCAGTGCATGGTACTTGGGTTTACTTTATTCGTTATCCATACAGACGATGTGCCTCAGCTTCTTTGTTCACCATGTGCGTTGTTTGCAGATGACTGAAAGGTATAGAGATAAATCGGCGCATCCGATGATTGTGGCCTTCGGCTTGACCCTGATCCCTCTCCGGGTGATCGGCAGAAGTCGGCCTTCCGATAAACCCGGTCACTTTGTTATCTATGAGGCTGGGTAAGGGTGGACACGGTCGAACCTACATTGTGGTCGGTCAAACGTTGCATCTCGCACCTTTCGTGAGAAAACTCGGTGCACTCTCAGGCTGCGACCTAAATTCCGTTGACAAAACGAATAGGATTTACCAAAACGGACTTCATATGTTTTGTGCGCTCAAAAGCAGCTTCTGCACCTGATCCGAAGACATTGTCAAGTGCCTCTTCCTTTCCATCATACGACCAATGCTAGGGTACGGTTCGCCCGCAAACTATCCTAGCAGTCGGGGCGAGGTACAAAGGAAGGAGCGGTTACATCATGTGACCGCCAGGCTCATCCCCACTTTACGGCGTTTGCCGCACCAAGACCACCGGTGCAAGAGACTAAGACATTTTACACTGTTTTATCGTTGACTGCGAGTTCACCTCATCATGGTGATTACGCCATGTTGAGGCCACTGCTCCATATGTGCACACCAAGCATCACACGAGGACACCGGTACAAGCCTGTAATACCGGATGTGAAGCTGGTCGCCCACCAGCTGCTTCGAAAGGAGAGCAGTGCATATAGGAAGCAGCCTCTCGCCTCACCATCATCAATACACGTTAGCTGGGAGCGAGAAACACATCTCAGCCAAAGTGCTGCAGTACAAAAATGATAAGAGATTAAACATTGAAGACTATAAAAGCTAAAGTAAGAATCTGGCGTAGCAAGTACTCGAGGCAACATCGGTCTCGGAATTTAAAAAGTCCCAGGACAAACACTGGCGACATGAAATATCGTGATTGCTCTTCAACGGAATAGCTCATTGTACCTGAGGGGTTTTAGATGCAGCTACACAGATATCGCTTCATGCTGCTTCCATCCAGGATTCAGCATAGAGCCGATTTCTTTTTGACCACTGTGGTATACATAAGGAAGGCTGTCAGATTGGAGTGTAAAGTCAAGCTAGATGATATGAGTGGCGGCAATGAAACGAATGATACGTAACGACAAACGCATGTGCTTGACGGTGTTACAGTACGCTACACTTACTGAGGTTACCTTCCATCGCATACTCTGTACGTATATAACAGATTAACGTGCTCTTCAGACAATACGATGAAAGAGAGAGATACCATAAAATGTAAGGGAAAGCACCGTATATCGGATGGGGGAATGAAATAATCCGTGTAAATTAAGGCAAGGATTCTCTTCACCTGGCGAATCTCCGTTTCATAAGCTGTCTATAGAATGTATACGTGTCCACTTGAAAGAGAACTTTGACGAGTATATGAATTTGGCCAGCATTAGTTTCCCAACTAACACGGATTAGCATTTCAAGATTTCCGCCCGCACGAAAGCGACTGGACGGGTAAGTAAATTTCCGTCTCGACACCGTGTGAACAGGCTACGGTTATAATGAATAAAGAGTAAACCAAACTGATCACCGGTTAAGTGCATGTTGTTGGCAACAGAAAGAGAGACCACACAGACCTGGGACGGCTCACTGAAGATTTATGTCATGTCACAAACACACTTCTCCATTCAGCATCTTGAGACACGTTGGGAACCAGTCTAGAACTCATGTTCTCTAAATAGATTGATAACAATCGGTTAAGGTATCTATTTGTGACTGTTTTGCCTTGGATGCAAAAGCTCCGTCAGGCTAACTGAACGCTTCGTAAAATGTACCACTCTGGGCTTTCCATTCTTACTGTACCACTACAATGCACTCACTGGATGCTAAATACAGGTGTCTGCATAAGACTTCGTGACTGAAAGGCAATGTAATTTGCCGTCTATAATGAGCTGGCTTCACAAACCAGCTTCTAACATCGGCAACAGCGCAAGCAGTAGACCCACAATGCATGATCAGCGCAGAGCCTTACGGAGGCCTTGAAGGGTACGGCCCCGAGGCTTCGGGGAGCCCACAAACGGGCTGGGATGTCATAGATATCCGTTGAACTGCATCGCCCAGAGAATCAGATTCGCAATCAACTTTCTGTTTGTCCACGTGAAGCAGCACATGTTTTGACTGAAAGCCATACATATCGACTTCACTATATCGATTTCAACCAAAGTATTGACCACTCATTTATACCGAAGAGCATGGCGTACTGCTCGCTCATTAATTCACCACGTTAAGTGAAAAGTGCATAGATTCGATTTGAACGAATACTTTCCACATGGCTTGCAGTGATAGCGGTACTCAAAACAGGTGGACCGCGTGACTCGGCACGGTGGCGCCGATCGATGACGATTGAAATCGAAGTCTGGACCTAAACACGTCCAACGTTAGCATGTAACGGTGACTGTAAAAGTGCTCTCTCTCTCTCTGATTGGACTATCCTTACGCGTATCTCGTGGTACCTGGCCGTAACACGGTTCACATGGTGCGAAAATTTTCACCGTTTACAGTACCGTTAGCAGTGGGGATAAAGTTTTAGCACCCACATTTTGTACGATGCTTCTGTAGTCATTTACAAACAACATGAACTAGAAATTTTCTGTGCTAATTATATGGTAAGTAGCGTCTCCACTAAGGTGTTGGACAGTTTGGTTAATTAGGAAAAGGCCAGGAATGTGGTGTTCCGTTGAAATACACAGTGCGACTAAGCTGGAGCTATGCGAACGTTTGTCAGGACGTTCAGTTACTGTTTACGTCACCTAGCATCGAAATGCCACAAACTACCCCTTTGGGTGAAACACAAATGCATGACGTAAGATGCTGATTGTTCTATAGCTAAATCGAGTTGCATAGTCAATTGAAATCATCGGACTAAGTGCCTTCCGATGCTTTTACAGCAACGCCGCCTTAAGCCATACAATCGTAACCACACTTTATTCCATTCAGGCTGCAACGACACTTACCAAAACAAATCCTAAGTGGCGCTCATTTTCGTGTGTTATAGCTTCGTGCACAAGTTTACTATTGTAGCGTTAGCAAATCCTCTCCAGGGTGCTACCAAACGGCCTTAACGGGGGAATTCCTCAACACCCAACATTTGAAGTGACTGTCAACGATTTCATGCTTTATAGTAGGCTAGGCCTGTTGGCTGACTCACCTCACATCGTTCAAAACTGTTTTGCTAACCGCACGACTCCAAGGCATCTTCTTCAGTTTCACTTCATAAGTGATGTGATGGAAAGTCAGTACTGATCCGGTCACAGTAGATTGCTGGCTGGTTACACTGTCCCCCGACATTGGATATCCCGGCTGATCTGCGACAGAGTTCCGGTCGCCACCAGTGGTACTGAGACTTTCCCTACGTAGACGCCCAGTAATTGGAGCGACGGATCCTAGGGGCACAACTGAAGATAGCGATTCTAGTCTGGTGTAGTGTTTTTGCCCATCTGGTTGATTTGTGCTATACATAGTGCGAGCAGAAGGACGAGCGGAACGCTGTAGATTGCACTGAACGACAGTGGGGTTGGATGTGGAAGCAGTGGAGGTGATGACTGTTGTGCTTGGGAGAACTGGCGGACTCCGCGTAAGTGAACCGTCCCAGCGATCATGTGTCACTTCATCCGGAACTCCAACTTGATGGGTCGGAACAGACTGACTGAAGGGTATGGAGATTAGGGGATGCGAAGGTCGCACATGGGGCAGTGTCGGCTGGAAGCCATTCAGGGAGGAAGTGATGACTTTATCACCCAGCATCGTGGTCGTAGAACGAGACGACTCCGTAGGAGTGAAAGTGTGCGATGAGCTGTGCTCTGGGGTGAGGCACTGTGAGAAGTGAATAATGGAATAGTAACTAATTGAGAATAACATGTAAACACTTTCCGGTGGCAATATTCCTCATGCTCTACTAGGAAACCTTACATTTTACAGTCTAATGGACCATGAATGCTGGAAATGACAAAAACGAATGAAGCTAACCAGAAAGGTGCAAGCCAGGTGGTGTGGCCATTAATCCTGACCATTAGCACGCAACCGTAGAGTGAAGAAAATAACAAGGCGTCAGCAGCGCACCAGCATGCTGTACGCGGGCGCTTCGTTGTCGCGCTAGCAGTGGCGACGGTGCATGAACTGGGGTTACTGTGTGGTCGCCCACCAATACTTGGGCTCAAACCGGCGACCTGTGGATTACAAGCCAGACACCCGGATCACTCGGTCACCGGTCGACACATGACACTCCTTTAGGCTAGCAGACGGGCAGATTGCGTTTGAATGCGCCGGATGGCGCTGGCATGAATCGTTGCTTTATGCGCACATAAGCAGCGGTAAGTGGTCAGAAGTACCCGTTGTCAGTGCCCATCGGTAAGATAACATGGATTTTCTCTAAAGGAAAAGGAGAACTGCTTCAGAGAATCACACTACATCTACTCGAGGGCAAGAGTTCGCTCACTTGGTCTCACGCGGGCTCCTGCCCTCTCCTCTAGTTTATTATTCGATCAAACATGAAGGGTAACATAGAGTGTTCACCTAGTCATTAAAGGTTGGGCAGGAGTGTGTTGACAATCCGACGCAAGGCCAGCAACGTGTTGGCCTGAGTAACACGAACATTGCGACAGTAGTTCAATGATAGTTGTTGTGATGGTAGCACATCTATAGTAAGATCCTTCCTCCGGCACAAAACTGGAGGAGTGGGCACGTCTGCTGACCTGACTCACCCCCGCCTCTCCGCTTAGCCATCCATTCTACGTGGAAAGATATATGGTGACACATTGTTAACAGAGCGCTTGCATCATCTACTCACTCAACCAACATAGAGTTCAAGCATGCTCTCTAGACCTTGTGGCACAGTGCAATGCGCTAGTATAAACTGCATCAGCGTAGGCGAACAGTGGCCAAAGTACAGTACCAGTGACCGAACAATAGAGAAGAGACGTTGTACAGCAGAACGGCTGTGTCGTAAGTCGAATGCGTAAAGTAAAGTCAGGAATGTGCTTTAGGCAGCTAAGTAGGGTGAATATTCAGCTGCAACACACACCTTCTGGACATGGATAACTAGTGAAATAGAATAACACTACAGGGTAGGTATAAAACAGCAGTTATTAAAAGAACGATGCTGAAGTAAGTTACCCAACAATTCTTGCTTGACCATGATCTGAGCAATTTAGGAACGAGTCAAATAAGGAACAACTGACTAGAAAGTGCACTCAATCCGGCCTCTGGAAATCGACTTGGGATCCCTCCTGAAAGTGCGCTCGGCCAAGCCAGTATCCCATCTACGGAGCTCCAGATTACCAGTGCGGAACTCATAGTAGCTTCCACATCTCTCAGGGTGTTGTTGCTCCGCTTTGACGCATCACTTCAAATCATTACTCGCCCACGAAAACGGCGCGGCGCGGCGCGACGCGGACGCGGTATGACGATTGATGAGCCGCACACTCCTGCGTTTACCTTCCATTCTGGATGCAGAAAGCCTGTCTTCACCGACGGTCCTCGGATGGGCCGTGTTGCGGCACCCGCAGCAGATCCACAAGCTCCATGTGAAACATAAACACTTAGAAGCAAAAGTAGATAGCTCAGGCGGCAACCGATAAAATTACCATGATATTCGCAAACTGGATATTGGGATATTACTACAGGAAACCACATCTGACACCTGCACCATCTTGTAAACTCCGGCCAGTCAACAATTTATCAACCCCCATGTGTCGCCCTATTCGATGCCCCAAGGTTTCATTCCAAGCCCAGCTGTTACAACTGCTCCCCCCCACATTGTACAACTTACCCTATAGATGTCAAACACATATACAGACATTGGTTCATTCTCGCTTAAGCTGCACATTCGACAGCTGTTCCCTTCACCCCACATGAGCCTCAAGACACATTACTTCCGACTCTTTTGAAACCCCCCTAAGAACCCAACCCTTTGTATCCTCTATGTGTTGCACAGCGAACAAATTGGATAGGGTTATGTGACTCAATAAAATAGCCGTTGGATTCCGCTCGTGGACTCCAGGTTTCATGAGCCTGTTGTGCAGTGGCAAGTACGGTGGTTAGCAGTTCATAATGACCCGGTTTTTTCAGCACTGAACGGGTATTGCTGAGTACCGAGGTTAACTCTCGGTTCCGTTTTGACTTGACCCGGGGGGTTACGAACTGCTCGAGACTCAAGTGAATTTGTCGTTTAAAGTACTCAATAACTGTCTTTTGATTTGGGGTGCCTGAAAGTCCACGTACTTAAAATCCGTGTCTTACTTTGCATGGAATTTGGAGTGCAAGTTTCCTTGGGACTTAAAAGTGTCCCGTACTCGATAGTCTGTCTTTCGTTTGCCCTACGAATCGGACTCAGTTGTTTGCTTATTTGAACCATGTCAACTGGGAACCACTCGTCCGAGAACTTCGTCGGAGCTAAGAAAGTAACTCAGTCAGTAGAGAATTTGTTCACCGTCGATGATTTGGTTTCTTGCTCTGGGACGCACGCTAGTACAAAGAGTAGGCGGAGCCTGGGTTCTCACAGAGCGGTTGCTGCCTTTAAGTTGACAGAACTTGAGACGGAACATGAGGCATTTGAATTGAAGACGGCTAAGTTGTGTGTGGCACTATGTACTGATGTTGAGGAGTCACCTACTGACATTACCCGATTTCTCGATGTGCGCAACGAACGACTGACGCGGTCGGTGTAAGACTACCGTAAGTCCGCACCAAGCGAGACTAGCTTTAATAATTCTCACGACAGTTAGCAAGAGGCTTAGCCTGTGCAAGCCCACCTATCAAGAGTAGAACTGGTTCGTCCCTTACACAGGCTGTTCATTTGTCTGACGAAGTGTTCACGGATCTTGACAATTTTGCTGCCAACGTTCATCACCAGTCGAGGTGACAACATCAGTACGTGGATGCGAAGCGGAAAGGAACGATACGTAAATAAATGTTAATCGGGTGGTCGTACGGCTGCACTTTTATAGGTCATCATCACTGGACGTTTGGGCAGTTCGTGTTCAAAATCAGCAAACAGTTCATCCAACAACATATGAACACAAACTAGGTAGATCGGGAGGCAGGGCTGGGATCAAAGATTACCACGAAGGCTCTCTCACCCCTCCGAGGTGTGCCGCGTATGCCCGGTAACGTGAGCCTGCCCTACACCGCGGCTCACCTTGTGCTAGAAAGCTGATGCAGTGGATATGTTGTACGTCAGATGGGGTATAAGACAGCGTGAAGAAATTGGAATAGTGCAGGACAGTGTTAGCCACTCATACACGCAGTTGCCGAAAGCACACACTAGGCGTCCAATAAGTGAAGCTGCATAGTTTCGACACTGGGGCCCAAAACGACTATAGGTTGCTAGTGGGTTGCGGATGCAATGCTTGGTACAACCGGTACCGGACAGAATGCGCTTGGCTATGAATAGAATGAGTGACCTGAATGTCGCTTGGCCGATCGGTCAAGTTCCAGGTACTTTACTTACACTTGACCCCATTTTAAAAACAACCTGAAGAGTAGCGAACTGGTGAAGCATCAATGGAACTCACAGTAAGAAGTGTGCACGCAACCAGTCACTAACAAGTTCAGAGCGCCCCTATCCAGTAAACCAAGGGACGTGATTAATTCGCACCTTCACCAAACATCCTATCTGACAGGACGGCTCACTCTACGGTGAGAACTGGATTGTTTCCAGTGTTACGAACTCGGGCGTTCTGGTGATGAGGCGAGCACCAAAAAATACGCTGGTTCTCAAAACCCGACGATATAATTGCGAATGGGTGCGCATTCGCTTCACCTATCCGTTGTCCGTACTGAACACAAGTTCGCACAATCAACCATGTTCAATACATAACAGCAGCTGGATTCAACCGTAATAACATGGGGAGGGTCCGGTTGAAGTTAAAACCACTCGCTTCACATTACTAAGGTGGTGAAGTCGTTAAGTCAACATCAGTTTAAGCAAACCGGTCAACATCTCCCCAACCCATGAGCGTGCCTGCACGCTCAGTGGGATTTCCATTCAGGGGTCTATTTACTTGCGTTGACCTGCGCGTGACCAGGATGGTAAGTGCGGATGCATAGAAGCCTTGTTTGCGAAGAAGTGCACAAACGTAAGACGGTGGCTCAGCCACCATCTCGCATACCACACATAAGCCGTTTAAAATGAGTTCACTTTTAAGCATAAGCGAATCATCATACGGCGCTCAGAATGCCTGTGCTAGGTATAACTTGATATGAGTTGTATGTTGCCGCTTCAGTCCGGCTGCATTACAATGACTAAAGCTTGTTGGACGCTGACCTAGCCGAGTGCGGTCCGAGTGTTGATAGGCTGCCGTCTGATGTAATCATTTCAAGTACTGGACTCAGGATAAGGATCCCCTTTGCTGGGGTGTCCAAAAATACTGTCTTCGCAATCCCGCTGAAACGGCGTTTCCGTCACGGAATGGCGTACAGTTCAGCCTCCGTTCTGTATACCTCTGATACGCATATTCCACTTTTTTTTGAAGAAAGTTGGGTAAACACCGACTTAATCATGGCTCCTATCAGGGTGCCTTTCGGCCTCAGTCATTCAGTTTTGCACCGGGTATAGCGCACCCAAGTGAGGCTGCGGGTTATTCAGCGCGGACCACTCGTCGTCTCTCTGTTGACACGGGCGTCCGGTGGCCGTTGGTAATCACGGTGACAGTTAACGATGGAAACTGATGCCACCAAAGACAGTATCCCAATATGGTTGCGGGTGCTGGTGTGGATGGTGTTGTGTTTGCAATTCTGTTGCATACAGACTGCAGAATAAAAGCTGCACTTCTAAAGTCAACTAATCATCGGCGACCGCATGGACGAGGCAAGGCGCTTGGCGGAAAGACCAGTGTCCGTTCTCCGGATCCAAATGAGGCATTGGAACTGTGAAGCAGTGAGTGGTAAAGTGGACAATGCATGCGAGCTCAATGGTATCGTGCGGCTACTGATCTCACGCACGCCCCGGAGACATACACCACCGATCATGTGATGACCTGTCCGCCTGCCACTGATGTTTCGAAGCTGGCCGTCAGAATTCTGGTTTCAGCGGGTTCGATGATAACTTAAAACAGCATGGAATTGTGAACAGGTTGAAGTGCCGGTCACAGTGTCCCTGGGTTGTCGACACTCCCTACGGTCTATCGAATCACGATTGGTCAGCGTTAGTGTGGTACGGGAGTTTGAGGTCCCCCAGGCTATGGTGGCAGCTCGCATTGACCAAGAGACTGATGTTTCGATTGATCAAAGTGGCAGGGTAGTCCGAAAAGTGTTGTACAGCAAAAAGCGACGGTAAACCACAAACCAGCGGCCCCAACTTTGTTTATTTACCAGATTCATTGGGATCATGCTTGAAGACTAAACAGTGTTGCGAGGAATTATGGATGCATTCGCACGATTCATCAGTGGGATCGGATCAGGAGGTCATCTCTGGTTGCGGTAACGACGATAAGAGATTGTATGGCTTGAGATCACTAACCAAAGCGCGACCTGTGTTGCAATGGTTTCAAACAACTTACTATGTACCATTAGATTGCATTTCAACTTTAGCATTACAGCGGAACTCCTCCAAATTACGCCTATTCAGACGGTAAGCCACATCCAAACTTGGGTTGAGTAGTTATTTCGTCCCATTTGGATCAGACAATCCAGCGGCAGACCCTAATCTGATCCAACTATTTCAAACATTAGCTTGAGTTTCTAAGCAATGGAAACTGCGGCTGGCTGGTGAGCCTAATTAAATGCTTCACGATAGGCATAACCCACTCAGGGCAGCCAGGGAATTTACTGTCTCACGAAGGGTGGGGGCTGAACTGATCAGGCGTACTGGTAATTACCCATCCATTTGAGCATTTATCAACATGCTGCACTGCAGGCTGATTTGAACTGGTTAATACAGAGGAGCAAAAACTCATTCTGATAATTCTAATGGAACTCACCAGCTAAGAAGCGGCCTGACACGCAGTGCATCAAAGAAGCATCATTAAAATTCATTGCGAAACACGCACACGAAAACAAACACAAGCGGTGAATTGAGAATGCGCTTCGTCCAATAAGGCGCCAGAAGTGACCAGCTGGCATGTGCATTAAGGACCCGATTAGAGGAGAAGGCTGTCTTCACTCCCTATCTGATGGATGGTCTCATTATTGACAATGTCTAGACAACCGACCGTTTTCGTCGAGCAATGTTACAAACCCAGTCTTTTAGCGCTTATGTACTGATGGGAATGCTTATCGCGTGGATGGATCGGAATAAATACTGACCACCATAACTCCTGGGATCGCGCTAATACCGGACCTGACATGACTTCTTATCGACAGTGCTGTTTGAGTCTGATTTCCCTTCCTGGCTAAGGACATGCCTAGTTTGTTAGCCAAGTACTCGGCGGTCTGCCAGCATTAATGACTATTGTGCTGGGATAAGTAGTGTTGTAAGAAAAGAGGAATCCGAAGGAATCGTACATACCAAGGACCACTCCAAAGATCTACCACCTAATACACACCCATCGATCACAGATGTGGGTGCAACACAGCAGGAGTCAAGTTCCGGAGCATATGGACATGGAATGGCAGAACAGCATCCAAGTGAATAGTATGTTGGGTAGGAACTGCCTGAGATGCCTCACTATATTTCCTTGTTTCAGGAAATAAAGCTTTAACGTCGTTTGGGTTTCCAAAACGCTAGCCACTTGAATATGGGATGTAACTCAGTGAATCAGCGCTTCAGAGACAATGAATGTCTCAGGTCGATGAATCGCACGTCACTATGACTACGTGGGCAACAAAAACAAGCCTAAAAATCAATGCGACTTGAGGACGTTCCCTGGGTAGCATTTAGCAATGCTTGAGTGGTTGACGAAACAGTCTACCCTTGTGATTCTTCGCTGCTGTGACCGCCGCTAGAGTAGGCCAGAGATCACAGACACTAACAATGTGTCCACATTGAAGCCAACCGTTGTTCACTACGCAAACCCCATACTCCCTTCCCGCCTGAAGCTTGGTGTTAGTAGCTTGAGGAAACAGCGTAATGACCATACAGATCATTTAGTGGTTCGTTGAGGCTAAACTGTAGGTCGTCCAAATGGACTGGGAGTGGGGACAAAGGCGGGGGCACAGCTACACCTAACCCTTAGGAGCAAAAGGTATACTCTTGCGGGGTCGAAAGTGAATCAAGCGATGTTTGGCTGGAGAGTGGTTGGAAACAGGCTAAGTCCAGCGCGTACCCAACAAAGCAAGCCAACTGTTGGGCACTGAGAAAGTCCCCAGTTCGCAGAGCTGGTGACATGTGACTAATGGATGTACCACATATTCGCGTTCCAAGTTAATGTTGGGGAGCCGAATTTTCTCTTTCCCATTTCATAACTACTACGGAACATGTTAAGGAAGCCTGAAGACGTTAAATTAAGTGCGCGTAGGCTTATTTCCAGGCAGAGTTGGTACAGCACATTGATGGGTCGGGACCCAGTAACAGTTTCATGGTATTTACCTGTATCTGGAATTGGCCAAAAAGGATGTACGATCAATCACGCAATCACAAGTTGAGAAGTGTCCTCGTTCCCCCCTCAACATGTTTGCACCTTACAGCAGTTTTGCGAAATTCTCATACGTAAGCTCGCATTAGAAAACGTCGCATACTCACCCCCACGTTGCTGGTCTCCCTGCACATATGTAAGACGGATATATGCAACCAGTGCACTTTCTGTAGTGAGCTGAGTTCACGACTTCCTTCAGAATTGTTACCACTGACCTCGTAGTCTGCTTCGAGCGAACACCAAGTGATGTTGCTATCTTCCACACCGGATTTGTTGCGTGCCATTTATCTCAACTATCCGCGTGTTGTAAAACCGCACCTACACAACAACACGACTGGTGAGATGTCGTCAGAAATCGAGAGACCAAGCGTGTGTACTGAAAGGACTGAACACCGCTTGCGATTCAGTTAAGTGGCCACAGTCCAAAGCATATCAGCGAAATCACGAGCAAACAGGGTTACGATGCTGTTCGCTCTCCGGTGTACGAAGATTCTGTTCGGACAGGATCATGTGAAAACGAAACAAGCTCACTTCCTCTTTCGGTAGCTAGCTGTCTTAAGTCATTGTGTAGCACACAAGTACAGACAATCTGCCAGTGGTGAGCAGTAGGGAGCGCAAGCAACTGCAGCAAACCGAACCATAGGATCCATGATTGACGTAACAGCTATTTGTTGTGGAATGACGCAATAAGTCACCTATTGTTTCGCGGTAGCACATATTCATATCTCGCGATCGGTACACACCTGACTCGGAGTTGCCAGGGAAAGCGGTGCATAATAAGAATAAATGATAACGGTGGTCTTAACTGGTCACCGCATAGTTAGAGTTGGGTATCAGTTCGGGGACACGCAGTAGCAGAGTATTGGGCGATGTGAAGTAAAGAGCTGATTTGCTCTGTAAGGCTAAACAGTACCAAGAACACGGATACTACGGGATGCAAACCAGCTGGTTACTTAGAGTGGATAACACACAAACCACCGGCAACTGGCGAGGCAGCCAACCTAGTTTAGAATTCGACACAGAAAAGGATTGTTGCAAAAGTGCCACGGTGATGCGTGGAGGCAGTTTTATGTGCATATGATACCCTATCCGGACAGGCAAGGCAGTGCAAAGTTGGGACTGAAAATTCATGAAGACACCAGAATAAATGACCACTACAATGAGACCGTTTGTGCAGCCGACCAACCGCATTTAATTAACGGTTATCAAGCAGAAACATAAAAATTAACTAAGACCGTTGGATGAACCAAAGCTGTCACAAAAAGCTCCAGCTTACGCAGCCCGGATGATTGTTCCTTGAGTTGAGGCCACGATGACCGGACGTGTTCACAAAAATGCTTTTTTCTATCTCTGGATGACTGACAGTTTTATCAGGGTATTCCGTTGTCCTCGAAATTTCATATGGGGTAATATCCGGATATCCATTCAATCTATCCAGAACTTGATGTGATCTCTCGCTGATGCGTTTGGCAAATAATGCCGGGAGCATGTGGGTGCGTGGACGGCACACTGTCTTAACCGGGTCCAGTCCGGTCGGTTCAGTTGCGACCAATTCATTGTAGTGAGGTCCATCTTGCAACAATGGACTTATCATTGCTGCGTCGGAGCAGGTGGCAACACCGGATGGTGACAGATCAGAGCCATCTAGATAGTTGGGCGTTCGTTTGGTACTACCATAATTCACCGTGTGATGCTGACAAGGGTAAAAAAAGAAAAAAAATGCATATTGAGATAAACTTACGGCATGCGCAAGATTGGTGTCCGAAGTAAATCGTATTATTCGCCACGGTGATCGAGGAGGCACGGGAGGAGCTGTTTCGGTAGAAACAGAATCGGCTGAACACCTTTTGTACGGGGGGTTGAACGAACGACTACGAACCATTCGTGTAGTGAGTTGTGGGAACCCTCGGTGAGGCAATAAAGGCAATTCCGCGCGATTGGTGGTTTGCGCTTGATTGTTGCGAGTATCACTGCCTGTGTGTTGCGGAAACTGAGAAGTGAGAGTCACACCCGGGAAACAATAGCCGCAGGACGAGCATAGAACGTTGTCATTTGGAGCAGACAAGTTACACACCACGGAGTTCACTATAATTGCAAAGTCACCATCGTTATTCTGGTTATCATGTGAAGTGAAGCCGTGTATGAATGCAGCAGGTGGGCTGAGCGGGTCTGGAGCATGTACCATACACCTGTCATTTATTGCATGTGAACCAAAGGAAGACTAGTTGATAAACCACAAAGGTTTACAAATGCCTCCAAACGTGACTCGAATTTGAAAATCAGCAATCTATGATATGTGGCATTACGGGGACTCTTGCGCAATGCAACCGAACCGGAAGGCTTTAAGCAGAAACAATTTCGGCCCAGGTGTAACTACAGCAGACACAATGCGAGAAGAGACCAAATGCTATTAACCTACCAATCCGGAAGCCGAGAGAGGTAAGTACACTATTGGCTAAGGGTGACACGGGCTACACAAATGGACGAATCAGTGGACACTTGAACGGATTGGCATATTAGTGATAGATAACAGCCGCTATGGTAGGCCATTGTGTCACCAGATTTTCTTGCCTGGTTATGATCAGCGGTATTTGGTGACATCAGGGAAGTTGTCTTCCATGCTAGGTTATTTCTTTTAACGTTATGAGTGTGAAGAGCTCGAAGATAGGAGAGATGAAACAACTGGAACTGTTACCATCACCTACGGTATAAAAAAGGTGGGCAGTAATTAAAAGGTCATCGTAATTATACACAGACGCTGTGAACTTTTTAAGGCCGCATGTGAAATGAGCAGGTCCAGATTGCAGAATACGCAGAATAAAATATATGCACTGTGGCGGTGAACGGTACGCACGTATCTAAGTTAAGGATGCCATGAACGGACGCGCCACATGCTTACTCACACGGTGCGATTTGCATGAGCGCAGCAAACCTGACCCACAAGATATAGCTAAGAAAGCGATTTGTATTAAGTGACACAATATGGTTACTTCGCAAATCTTAGTTCGATCGGGTAGTGACACTAATGGAGTCCCAGAAGTCTCACCAGAAGATCCACCATTAGATTTGATCTGCATTACTCTACACTATAACAATTTTGGTACGTTAAACGACAAGGAAGGGACAGAGCGGGTGGGGTTATCGCATCGTAATACACCGCCAAAGATAAGCTATTCTGTACAACCTAATTCGGCGTTGCAAGTCCGTACGAAACGCGAATACCAGCTGCGAGGTGAGGATGTCGTCTGGCAGTTTTGCGGTCAGTGAACTTGGCACACGAACTTTATTTATATTAATAAAGGTTAGGAGGATTGTTTAATTGTAACTAATGTTTTTCTCCCAGCTGCTCACAAACGACATAGCACAGCCTAGTCCGGAAAAGCATCAGACCTGTTTCGCCCTATTTCAAGTCGTCAGTGGTACGCATTCCCTCGGTCCCCTAATGGGGATCGAACCCATGACCGCTAGAGGCAGATGCCAATTAGCCAACAGTTTAAGCCACTGAGCCATGAGGGACGTCGTCTGGGCTACAAAATTTGCAAGCTAACGGGGATATAGCACGACCTATGTTCCACTGCCACACAGGTTACTAGCTTAGTCGATGACAGTGGCTGGCCTCCGAAGGTCATGACTTCCTCACACTAGATGCTACGTCCATATCACTTAAAACTAGGAGAGGCTACATTTTATATTACTAATCGGTAGGAGGATTTTTAATTGTATTTGTAATGTTTTCCTCCCAGTTACTCCCAAGCTACATAGCACAGCCTAGTCCGGAAAATACCAGACAATTACCATTCAAAAATCCTCCTCCTCATTAGTAATATAAAATGTATCCTCTCCTAGTTTCAAGTGCTATGGACGTAGCGTCTAGTGAGAGGAAGTCATGACCTTCGGAGGCTAGCCACTGTCATTGGTTAAGCTAGTAACCTGTGTGGCAGTAGAAGATAGGTCGTGCTCTATCCCCGTTAGCTTGCAAATTTTGTAACCCAGACGACGTCCCTCATGGCTCAGTGGCTTAAACTGTTGGCTAGTTGGCATCTGCCTCTAGCGGTCATGGGTTCGATCCCCATTAGGGGACCGAGGGAATGCGCACCACTGACGACTTGCAATTGGGCGAAACAGGTCTGATGCTTTTCCGGACTAGGCTGTGCTATGTAGCTTGTGAGCAGCTGGGACGAACACATTACGATCATTTCATTTGTATTGATCTTTTAAGTGAACAACCAGCAAACATCAAGCCGAGTCCTACGGCTTTTTAGGTAAGTAGCCCACTGACCACTTCTTCAAGTAACTACTGTGCTTATAACGAGACACCGTGCGCATATCGGTGTGGCATTCTGTGCGCACAAAACGAGACGGATGTGGGCATTCAGAGCATTCAGACTCAAATGGAAATTACCAATGCATTGTTAAGTTGGAACAGATGAAATAATAACTAGCATACGTAGTGGCACTAAGAGTTGCCATTTATATGGTGCAATAGTCATGAGACGCCCTACACACATGGGCGGTACTGGGACACCGTGGTAAGTGGCTTAATTCTTCACGCTGTTTGCCTGTCACTACTTCTCACATATCAATGAAGCAGATAGCGCGATCGATTGCCTTGGAAGCGCGCATTTGTGTGATTGTCTGGAAGGTCAATATTGCCATCTGGCAAAGCGGTCCTAATTTATGCATTGCACGGTTGATGGCACGGTCCGTGGTCATTTTGAAGAGTGAACAACAATGGTAATGGCGACTGCTTATACCACGGGTCTCAAGGCAATCTGAAAACACCAGCTCGGTGTTAGTTTTGTGTTTTCCAAGTCTTGTTAGAATAAGGTATATGCGCCACATAGATTTATGGTCAATGAAGGTCCAGAAACCATGAACTAAAATGCTCTTTTTAATGGATGGACCGTAGAAGATTACTTCTGGGATGCGGGAATCGACCACAACTACCTCGAGGACACTTGACCGTGACTAGCTCAAAAGAGACAGCGAAGCCCTAACAAACATGCACATTCCAGACGACTATAGGCAATGCAAAGGGGACCTGCACTTGTCCAACGTGGAATGCGCGAAAGCGCAATCTACAGGCAATAGCCTGAGGATCCGGACTAGTCTGAAGTGAATCCACCAATCAAGGGGGTCACATGACAACGCTCGCAAACCTCAAGGACACGACAAACGTGCTGATCAACGAACTGTCCACGTGACATGACCAGCGCTATCGGTGGCAGCAAGCACTGCCTACCACTTCGTGATTAACTGCTCGCTGCGAGGACAGTAAGCGGAATGTACGGAACTGGGAATCTAGAGTAGTTTGCGATTACACTATACTGGCACGAAACCGGCCGTGGAATGCGGTGTATTGTGATGAATGGATTGAAACCAAATAAAAAGAGCCTATTTCTGTCCATACACAACGGTCCTAAAATGAGCGAATACAGTGATGGCTTACTTGCTCTTATGACATCGGCACAAGGCCAGATGGGGCGCGGAAGTGCAGCCTAAACCCTAGGAGGGATTACACCACACGGAAGAAACTTCATGGGAGACTGCGCCGGATTGCCATAGTACTCTTCACAATGACCGCTTTCCTTTTCAACTTCTGTCTTTCTAAAATATTTAACCGATGGAACATCGTGAAAACCATTTTGGGAAATGCTTTGGAAAACTTATGTATAAATCTATCCTTTGTATTCCTGATGTACCAAATTATTAGACCACCTAGTTGGACTATATCTTGCAGTCGAGAGAAATACCACAGTGTTTCGAACGAGCAAGACCTAAAATTGATCGGTTTCGGACAGTTCCAGCGAGGATTTCACTTGAATTAATGATGGTCCTTATTGCGACTGCGTGTTACGGTCCATTCACGCAACGAGTGCCTCACATGGACCTGCAGTATAACAATGGGTGCAAGTACACACTTTCATTGGCCAGTTTTACCGGCCTACAGCGAACTACGTGTGTCGTAGGAAAGAACATTAGTTAACATACAGTCGGGCATTCCTGGTGCTATACTACATAAGGGTATTGTCGATATCCCTACACACAATTTGTGTGTGTGTGTGTGTGTGTGTGTGTGTGTGTTGAAGTCAAAGTCGAAATAGCCTATGCACACTCACACGAGCCCATCTGCAAATTGGAACAATGGTATATAGCTGGAAAAAAGCGAGCGCTTAGCGGGTCCCGTAGGATGGTGGAGATGATAATAGGAAAATTAGCGAGGAGTGTGTCAATCCAGTTGAGTCCACACACGTGAGCTCCAGAGATATTAACAAGGTAATAAATAAAATTCCACCTGTTTTAAACTTTGGAAAACACCGTTAAGTCGTGTTATGCAGTCTCGAGGTTGACACAAGGTATAATATGAAATACAACCGACCCAGTGCGTCATCAACTCGTTTTTAATTATCATTAAGCCTGTGGGTAGCAACAAGGTAGGTGGAAGGGCGTTCTGCGACCGACACACTCGAAGGGAGAAGAAATTACTACGATATGCCAAGTGGGTATGACATGTGGTCAGCATTTAATGGGGACCTCTCAGACGGGTAATATAGCTCAGTTCTGGCAGCAGAGAGCACATGTGGTTTGGGTTCATCAGCGCAGGTGCTGATATTGATTGCTGTATGATGCTATCAGATCCAATCCAAGGTGGTAAAGTCGATGGAAGAAGCTCGCAACGTTCTTGGATGCCCT